CCCCAAAACCCCAAAACCCCAAAACCCCAAAACCCCTTATAGGAATGAAAATTTGAAAGATAAAATAATACCAACATATTCAAAATTCTAGAGTCTATTAAAATTTTAGAAGTCCTCTAATGCTTCTTGAAATTTACGATGGAGTTAGTTCAAAAGCTACTTAATATTCAACTACAGATTCATCAAGAATTTTGTTCTTTTCGTTGTAAGCCTTCAAATCAAGATTTGAGCCAAGATGAATCAGCCATATATTTCTGTCTAAAAATGAATAAGATACTGATGTCCCTACCGATGGTGGAGAATAATTGCAAGTCAGGGTTTCTGTCTATGCAGCCAATGTCATGAATATAACAGCCCCAGTTTCCTTCCCCAATGTAGACAGTTCCAGTCTGGTCTTCTTTCCCACCTTTGAGTTTCTTTGTTCTTTTTACCGAATGAGTGTGGTTTTCAGAGACAAGTGTGACATTGTATTTATCAAAGAGAGGAACCCAATATTTTTTGCCAGCATCTATAAGGAATTATATCATCAGATACCTTCTACCCAATAATCATGAGTGTCCTCTGGTTCTCAGGAAGGATAAATAGGTCCATGGTATTGGGCAATTTTTATTTTATGATTAGAGTTCTTCAGAGTTTCTTCAAGCCAGTGTGCTTGCTCCCCATCCATATCCACTTCGTACTGTGTATCCAAAGATATTATCAAGAGTTTATCTCCAAAACTATGTGAAAAGTATGTTTTCCGCTCTTCTAAAAATGGAACTTCATTCACAGAGCTCTGTTGAGGGAACCAATGCTTGTAAACAGGTTGATGAGCATTATGAGGAATCCCTCCATTTGAAAATGAACTGACTCCAACATCATGGTTTCCAACTCCCATTATGAAGGCAGCAAGCCTTGTAGAATTTGTAATTGAGTCATATTTTCCATAAGGAATATTATGAAGTAAGTGGTCCCAGACATAGAAACATGTAGGAATATTGTTGTCATAAGCAATATCTCCTCCGACCATTATCAGGTCAAATTCTAAGTTAGAAACTGTGTTGGTATTCATCTCTATAGCCTTTTCTTGGTTTCCAATATCTCCTGCTGCTATTATCCTGTAATTTTCAGGATCAAAAGTCTTATAGGAGTAAATCTGAGGCTGGTAGTCCTTCCAACTAGGCTCATCAATCATAAACCTATAAGTAGATGACTGCTCTAGGTTTTCCAAATATACAGTGTAGATGTCTCTTGAAGTGTATTCAGAAGAAGGAAGTTCATATTCTCCAAGAATTGGAGTTCCATTTTCCCAGTTTGAATTATTCTTTCCATGGCTGTATCTTTGATATCTAAAAATAGGAGCTCACTTGTTTGCTTCACAAGATTCAGGGTTTATATGGAAATTTATAAATACTTCATTGCCAGCATTACTAGGCAAAGTTGGGTATACCATGCAGACTCTTGAAGATGGAGTTCATATCTTGTGTAAATCTCTCCTTTCATAAGCTGTTGTCGCATGGCTATCGACTCCTGGAGTATGCTGAAACACTGTTGTATTAAAAATTCATTCACAGTATCCTGTGCAAGTCATCGTGATGCCAAGAGATAAAAATATAGGAATCACAAAAAATCTTGCCAAACTGATCTTGCTCTCCACAACGAGACCTATCTTCACCTCAAGAATCTTCAAAAGTCCAAATAAAACAACTAAAATACAGATGAACCCTGAAACAGTCCTTTCCACAAACCCATGGCTTGCAAGATTAACTCAAACACACCATACTGAGTACACAAACATCAATTCACAGATCACCCAAGCAACGACAAACTTAATATCCCCATTGTCTTCCTTTCTGTTAAGTTTTGTATATCCTCTCTTATCGTTCCTCTTCCATAACATCCATGCTTGAACTGCTAGCGCCAAGACCAGGATCCAGGTTGAGTTCTCGAAGGAAGCACTGACAAGGTTGTAGTAGTAGTTGCCTTTTTGGTCTAGAAGTTGAAGAAGGGGATACCTTTTGGAAGGAAAATGGAGAATAGGAGGGAAATTAATGGGTTGTACATTTTTAGGTAATTTAAAATTGGAGCTGATTTTGGGGTTTTGGGGTTTTGGGGTTTTGGGG